ACATGCAAAAAAATAAGAAATCAGGAAGGGGGCAAACACTTTTTCACACCATTGTAGTTACCCAGGTCTGGAACTAAACCCAGAGCCCCAGCACTGCTAACAGCTGTGTCACTATGTAGAAACACTATTAAGGATTAATTTAAGTAAAGATTTGTGGTGCACAGCACTTTGCAGCAGGTGTGTGGGTGTTGCACTTTGGCAGTATTTTTACTCATGATTTGTGTTTTGCTGCTTTCTACCCTGAAAAAAACAACTATACTGTACATGACAAACAGGCTAAGCTCACATGAAACTAATCTGTCTCTATACAGTACCTTTAGCATTTTCACAAAAATATTATTTCAAACTACACATTATTCTATGTACAAGAAATATGTAAAAAGGTTAAATGAGGTTAAATTAAAAAATATGCCATTCTCTTTGACACATTACTCCCTCACTACAACACAAACATTCCTGTGCAATACAGCTATGGTACCCTGTATTGTTGCAGGCAAAAGAGGAATACTGCCACAATAATATTTTTCTAAAGACATCTTATTGTATCAGACTTTTGTATCAAAGCAATATACTGTATACTGTATGGGTTTTTTTTGCAAAGAAACAAGTAAAGGTTTATTCCATGATAAAAAGAGAAGAAAAGCAAAACAACCTTTCGGCTGTGGACACCCCTGAAGAAGGCTCCACAGCTGAAACATTGTGTTTCTTTTTTCTTCTCTTTTCAGCATGGCATAAACCTTAATTTGTTCCTTTGCAGCCTACGCATGCTGACGCAGGCATCTACTTGAACTACTGTATATGTATTTTTGCCTCCATTCTACACAGTCAGTCACTTAGTATGAGATTGTAGCCTGCATACAGTATGTTCCAGGACATAAAAAAAGAAACATTAGTAATGGGTATCAAAAAGCAATTTAAACTTGAGAGTATAAGGTGTACACTTTACCTGTTGAATTGAGAGACAGAATAATAACAAAGTAATCCTTATCTTTACATTTTAGTAGATTACCTCTGCATTTCTACAAATCCTACCTACTGTACATTCCTCCCCAAAGAAGACAAAGCTGATGCTAGATAAACTGGGTAGAAACACAGCACAGAGCACACAAGTGAGCAATCATGGCAAAATTTCCACTTTCTTTTTAAAAGAAAATGTCAACACAGTATATGTGTCGAAAATAAACACATATAAACACATGGGGCTTGTTGTGGCCTCTGGAAGAGCAATATTCACATAATCTTTGTTTTCAAGCCCATCCACTCACTTAGGTCTCGCAGTGCTAGACCTTGAAAGCACATTGGGTTAATTTTCAGGGATCAGTTCACTTAATTCAGATTTTCAGCATTTATTGCAAGGTGCCCTTAGTGCGCTGCTGAATGCTGCAGAAGAACAACTATATTAGCCATTTCAGGAGCATTGAATCTAGGAGTGCGAGAAAGAAAAAGTATTCTGGGATACAGAACACAGAATCTCTTTATCATATAGTTATTTTAATACACATTATTTACAGCTGTTAAATATGTTTTTTACAAAATATATAGAAATAGAAATCTGCTACGCAGATGTATTTCTAAACCATACCAAGCTGTCTGAGAACTTCCTAGACTAAACTTTCAACTGGAATCACATTACAAATGTAAAACAACAAACTCAGACAAAGTAACTTATTGGGTGCGGAAATTCTAAACAAAGAGCAACAAATGGACAAATCGGGATAGTGAAAACCATATGCTTTTGTATTCTTTATCACAGCACAGAGAGATCAACAAAAAATAGTTTTTCTAAAAATAAATTGGCAGCTGTCTGCAGAGTCAAAGCCGAAGAGCAATAAGCCCTTAGGAATTCTGCCTGGGGACTGGTATCCAGAGCTATCCGAGGCCATAATTGAAAGTTGATTTATGGGTTGTCAAAAGTGCCATTACAGCTTTCAAGCTCCAGTCAGTCAGTGCAGACTCGGTGTTGGCTGTGTTAGCCTGTACCGTGAAGCACTCACCTGCTTACCATCTTCTGCGTTGCAAGGCAAAAGCAGGATCTGCGAAGCCGGGAAGTTGGTGGAGAGAGACAGGCAGTGCTGCTGCTGGCGAATCTGCTGGCTGTGCGTGTATGTCCATTCCTAGGAGACAAAACAAAACATAAGGACACCTCAATTTGTCACATTCAAACACTCTAGTCTTCTCACACTGCGATCGTTCTCCTAACATGCCACCCAAAAGCAATGCCTAAGGCTTACAGTAGGACCTGTATCTTGACCCCCAAGTAATTCAATTATGCATTACAGCCTAAGCAATAGTTTATCTTTCTGAAACAAAAAAAATAATAAATAAATATATATATATACTGGCAATTTAATTTCCACATTTTGGGCTAGATGTACTATAAAGTTTAGTCACAAAATAAAATTTCCATCCTACGTTTTAAATTAAAATGTACCAATGAGAAGAGCCAAAGTGCTGTACTACTTTACATATCTGTTGTGACACTTTAGCAAGAATTCTGTGAAATGTATTTCAGTATTCCAAATAATTAGACAAGCAGTAGGGGATTAACCTGATATGTACAACCTCCAGACTACTCCAGTCTGTGTGGTGTTGAGCAAAAACAAAAGTGTAATGTTGCAATGTCTGTCTCACCAGAAGCTCAATTTAATATAACTGATGAAGGGCAAAGCACGAAAACACAAACATATTTTTTTTCTGATTAGGAGTAAAATTTGTTATTTCTTTACAATCAGATGGGTAAAAAGGAGCTATTCTCAAGAATAAAATATTCTTTAATTAACCTTGGACAATTCACTAAAATGTACTGTATGTAATTTCAATAATCAATTACTAATCAAGCACTTATCTGCAAAATCATTTCAACTTTACAACATGATTCTTTTCTATGATTCTTAAAACAGGTGAGTTTCTAGTACATTTAGTACACCTTGCCCTAGATTTGCCTTACATTCTTTTCTAAAATCTAGATTGAGTCAAAACTCCATAAACTGAGTCTGAGACTGCCGGTCTACAAACCCCTCATACAAACAAGATACCAACCCCATCAATCATTGTGAACAATGAAGACATATATACATTTATAATGGCACTTATACTGTCTGTGCAAATCTATGAATATGCCTTCTGCATATCACACTGCAGTTCTCATTAGTTCTCCATGGCCTATGCAGAGGAGCACAGTGCTACAGGGAAACCAATGAGGACAAGTTTAATTAAGGCACTGTTGGTGGGGCATTTTTATTTGATACTCCACTCTCTGCATCTAATTAATATTTTCAGAATAATGATAATATATTTTTAAGAATCAAAAGAGTTAGACAGCCAAGCAATGATGACTTTTACCCCTTGCATTCATTCTCAAAAGCCATTTTCTCATGAGGAAATGAGGCATGCTGCTAACAACGCTTTGTTTTTAAATGTGTCTATGGCCTTTTTGCTGTCAGACAGTAATGTTAAGTATGCTCAGATACATCAGGAAATGTATCAGAAAACTTGAATGTCATTTGCATAAATCCAGATGGCACACAAATCAAACATCGAGTGAACAATTTGCATTACTTACATGATTGCTAATTTAGCAACGACTGCTCAAACATATAAAAGAAAGAACTAAAAACCTAATAATATTAATTACTACTAATAACAATTTATCCTATATAGCAATGTGTATCCCCAAGTCTTGTTTATGTTTATTTACTTTTTAATGGTATTATTTTGTTTGCTTTGCATTTGAACATATGCAGGCAGGTGTAAAAACGTATATTAGGTTGTAAGTGGAATGCTCGTCAAATATTTAAACTGTATACTCTTGCAAAAAAGAAACAAACCTTGGCTGGGGTAGTGTGGCATTATATAGGTCAATGAAATAAACAACTTTACATTGGCACATTTATATTTTTTTTAAATACTTTTGGGCAACAGGAAAAATAATGATATCCCTAATATGAGACAGATTTTTCCCTGTCACTTTTTGAGTGATGTGCTGCAGTGCGGTTTATTCTCTGCTACTGTAAGTCTACATGCTACAGCAGTGCTGTCTATTAGGTTTTTGCAAAAGAAAAACCCTGAATATTATATCAACACAAACAACTCATTGTCTTAGAAAAGAAGAAATTCGAAATCAACTCCAGGGATTTTGTGCTGGTATACTGTAGTAGTCAGGGTCTGATCCCTCCTCAGAGATATTTCCCAGTTTCACAGTTTAGGCCTGAGGGACATCAGCCCACATTCACAATACATAAGGATTGAGATGGTTGGCTCAGTTTTGTAGCTTTGCATTTCTAACCAAAAAGAACTGATGTTTTCAGAACAGTAATCTTGCTACTGTAAAAAAAAACTTTAAAATGAATGGCACAGTGATTAGCATTTCTGCCTCACAGAGCTGGGACCCTGGGATAAATACTGGACCTGGAGTGCTATCTGCATGGAGTCTGTATGTTCTCCTTGTGTTTGCATGGGTTTCCTCCGGTTTCCTTCCACAGTCAAAAAAAAATACTGATAGGTTAATTGGCTACAGTGAAAACTGACCCTTGTGTGAGTGTGTGTGTCTGTGTTTCTGTCTGTATGCACTGCGATGGACTGGAGTCCTGCCCAGGGTGTACCCCACCTTGTGCCCGCTGCTCTCCTGGCATAGGCAAATCCCCAATGACCCTGAATTAAAGGGATCTATTTCTTGCAGGAAGCCAGGGTATCAGCTTCAATAACGTGGATGGGAAAATCTTTACTTGTGAGATATTGCAGCCGAACAGTGAGGCATAGGGTCAGAGGGATAAGCATGCAAAGATGGTTTACATATGTTTGTTAAGTGTGACAGCACAGCATATGAAATCCTAGTTTTGTTTACACCTGTTTTTCTCTCCCATGCATATTTCCATATTTAAATTTTTTCAAACAGGTTGTTACGGAAACAGATGCTGCTTTCTTATTTCATGGTTCCGGTTAAAGCCCAAAACAGTTCTGCTCAAATGGCAAAATGTAGGAGCCTTTCAGAAAACTTGAAAAGTCGGGTTTTACATTTTGCAAGTAGGGACATGCTGCTCACATATTTTAAGATTGATGATGGACAATTTTAAATTAGTGAATTAAAATGAGAAAGTTAGTGGATATGCCCTCTGCCTGGAATTTTAAATAATCTTTCACATGAAATCTTCTCCAGGTTCTTATAAAATGCACTTATGTAAACTACAATTCATTAACTGCATTTGGATTTATGAGGTAGGTGTTAAAAGTACTAGGTTTACTATCAATAAATTGTTAAACAAACCAAAATGGAAAATGACACTGTATGTATGGAAAAGGTATCTTCCTACCTTTCAATGCCTGCACTAAACTGTGAAACTACAAATACAAAGATGAGTAATGTTAGACTCTGAAATGGGAGTTAGGTGACAAAATGTGCTTGTCCTCGGATCTTTATAAGCAATGTTGAACTGTATCTCGCTGAGGCATGTCTGTACTTGATAGTGGTGGTGACAGTGAAAACTCATCTGCTTTCTACACAGGTTTGGAGGATCGTATTTCATTGAATCACTGGTAAAATTAAAAAATGCCAAGACAGATATATATCATTTGGACCATAAACACATTGTTTAAGTAGAAATTTTTCTACACAAAAAAGAATATAAACAAGAAAAAGTGTGAGATTTGCACCCTTAAAGGTTGAATGGTGAAAAAGTTGCTTTTTCCTTCTATTATTCAGCATGGAATCTCTACATTGCAGTCAATTATGCAATTTACTCTAGTTCTTTATACAGTAGGTTGCATTCAGTCATTAGGAATTCAGCGAATTACACTTCTTTATTTTTCTTTCTCATTTTTAAGCTTTGCCATTACCTAAAGAAACTGCTTAGTGGTAGACTGAGGTGCGAGAGTTTAACCAATAACTATTGTGATTTTCTCTGTTGCTAGCAGTGACAGCTATTGACCCAAAACTTTGGCAACCATCTTGGCACGCTTCTTGAGTTGACAGGTCAATTCGTAAATATCTGTGTATAAATTTCTGCTGGGTTGTAATGGGAACATGGGCTGGCAAAGACAATTCTAGTTTGATTTCATATAAGACTATTAAAACATTCTCAGTTAAACAGGAAAACCCTGTTTTATTTCAATAAATGAAAAACAATTAACACATCTTCCACTGGGCCATCTTAAACAGTTAGGCCATAAGCACGTGACTTATTTGCCATAAAATCAGTTTGCAGCCCACAAGCTGATGCAGGTTTTTATCAATGGCATCAAAGCTGGTGTGAAACATGGCCTGTGTCTTCCTACCATTAGCCCTTTAGCTCATGTGCTGAATATCGGCCCTAGCTCTGTGGTCACACTTACCTGGCTCAGAGCAGGGTCTCCCTTGCTGCCCATGCAGGGTCCTAGTGCCAGCACTGGCAAATCCTGGCCTTCTACCTTGCGAGACTCAAGGCAGTTTTGCCTCTGCCTGATCATGCCAGACTTTGAGTCTGAGTCATCTGGGATTCTAGATAAAGAACGATCGAAAAAAAAGTTGCGATTATTTTACTTTCTGATTGCAAAACCTTTGCCATCTTGGATGGTATTAATTTAATTTCTTAATTCAGTTTCTTGACTGCACACTGCCTAGTCTTTTTCATAGACAGTTTTTACAAGCTCAGTGTTTCCCAACTAGAAAACAGTCATAACTGAAAAAAAACCTCATCCATATTATGTTGCATTAATTAGATTATCACTGATGTTTGTTCTTCTTTTACATTTTTCAGGGAATTCATCCTTACTTATTCCTCTGCACTTGCTCCCACACAGACACAGCTCCCCACTCAAACCTCTTCTTATGATTGGTGTTGTACTTTATGTTTTAAATTGTTGTTATGTCTGAGATGCAGATGGAGTCAGTGACAATGTACTGTAAATAGTTCTGCAAGCAGGCTTGGAGTAATCTTGAGTGGAGATGCTTTTTTGAATATTTCTGAATCATGTTATATTTTTAAGGTTTCTTGGAGACGTATCTCAATGAACTACAGTATGCACAAACCTGAGAAAACTAAACAGAGGAATTATATTTTACTGAAAGAGGGTCAGATCTTGGTGAAAGAGCTAAGAATGAAAGGGAATGTTAAAGCATCTGTCATGAACATCCTTCTAACCCTTTTTTCCAGTACAGGGTTGCAGAGGAGCTGGAGCCTATTCTGGACAGCAACAGGCAGAGGTGCGATACACCCTGGATGAGATGCCATTCCATCGCAGGGCACACAGACACAGACACCATCACACTCACACATACTCAAGCTTGTCTGTATTGATTTGGAAACAAATACAAATACAGTAGCTTATAATTGACACTCATGTAGCAAAGCATACCATTTGTGACAGGAAGAACCCAAAATCTAATATGAAAAACTATTTACTGTAGAACCAGAAATAGCCAGGGACATACGTTAGCTCAGGATAAACGTTGTCCAGGTACCATTTGAAAGATCTGCATTTAAGCCTTTTCCGGAGTTCTTGCCTGCCCTGGATGCTGGTAAGGAAGAACAAAAGATTATGTAAAGTGAAACGTAACTGGAAGTTTGAAGGTTCAGGCCCTCTGCTGTGGATACACTGCTGTGGTACCCTTGAGCAAGGTACTTCACTCAAATTGCTGTTGAAAACGTAAGTTGCTTTGGATAAAAGCATCAGCTAAAATAGTAATAGCATTTTCTAAAACATCCAAATATAATATTGATGCCACAATTCTGGTAAAAACAGAAATTACTGAAATATACAGTTCTTTACAAAAATCAGTTAAAAGGAGTGCTTTTTGTTGTTGAATAGTGTGTAGTGTGATAGCTTCTGAAATTTGATTGGCAGTGCATATCTAATAAATCCAATGCAATACAGATACATGGAAACATTTTACTTAAATGAGGCTTAAAACCATGTTATAACTCTTTTATCAACACTACATGACAGGAACACAAGAGCATAGGAAAGGTTACATGAGACAGAAGGACATTTTGGCACTTCTAGCGCATTTGCTAAGTACTGTAGCTAATTGATTCAAGGATCTCGTCCAGCTGTTTCATGAATTAAGCTGACTTTTCTCCTGTTCCAGGTTTTAATTGTCCTTCCACTTAGTTTCCACTTCTGTCCTCTAGCTTCTTTCACTATTCTTTATAAAAAAAACAATATGCTGAATTGATGTTGTTTGAGGGCTGTGAATAATTGTGGATATACTGTACTATGAGACGAATACTGTGTTACTAAACACTATGATAAAACAACATGCAAAAAAATAGAGAAAATTAAATATGTCATAAACATACTAGTACCATTTTTACTGATTCTGTAAAGTCTTCTCATCAGCTCTCAGGTCCTTAATATTGTACTCAATCATTTTCTCCTACTGCTCCTTATATCGAGCATTGCTCTCAGCTTTTGATAGGTTACGAATTATTACATGTTTGTAATGTCGTTTGCACCAATGGCTGTAAAAGAATTTATGCAGATTGATTATGCATGTTGTGTAGTACTCATGAAAGCGCTATAATGGTGTTTTTTAGCCTCATTCAAGTAAAACTTAAAGAGAGTATTGTTATAAGATTATAAAAATGAAACACACCAATGGTGAAATGTACTGTAGGGCACTTTGCTTATGAAAGACATGGCATTTTTGCACCTTTAGATTTTCATTTTTTTGTGTGTTGTAGTTAGTGCTATGGTTTCCTGTACATAATTCAGAATATTCCTATACAATCCTTTACTTTACATAAAACAGTATAAAAAAGGTGTAAGTCAAAGCAATTTCAGAAGAAATCACTATAATAAATTAACTGAGTATTCAGAAGGATCCTTAGAAGCTTTCATGTTTTACTAAATAGTAAACAACTTTATCTGGTGTGTGTTAAAGTGTCTCTTAAGACTTGTGTCTCACCTTTTATTCGCTATGCTAAAACAGTTTCTGAAAAGGTACAATTTAAAGTATGAACTAATTAAAGAACTGAGTGAAAAACCTAAGACAGTTTAACATGTATGATCGTGTCCTTGAGGGTTTAAGTCCTGCTGGTTTAGCAGGTACTGTACTTTTCATTTAGCATCAAACACATTAAAACCGCAAATTCCAATAAATTGTTAAGATCAGAGACAGTGTGAAAGAGAGAAGACTCTGCTGTTCTATGTGGAACTTACTCTCCATAAGTTTTTCCTCGGGCAGCTGGTCGTGCTGCATAGTAAAATAGTTTGAATTCATCCATCCAAACTTCAGCTGTCCGCCTCGTGTTCCTGTGAATAGATGCAAAAAGAGCACTCTAGACACATACTGTACCAAAACCTCTGCCCCTTTCATGAAATCAAAGCACCATGTTATTAGATGCCTGATGTCCTCTATTATTTTTAGAAGACTCACAATTATTCGGACCTGAGAGAACTTTGCAATAAAGTCCAATAATTTAAATCCTTTAGCTACAAGAATGACAAAGGTTGAAGTTAAACAACATGAAGGTATTGGCTCAAAACCAAGATAAGATTTTTTTTCTTGAAAGGGAATGCATGTTGAACTGGAAAGGCAAAAAGTACTCCATTCAGGTAAAAATATGAATAAAATATTTTTACATAAAATATGTAAAAAAAACTACAGTATTCCTTACTCTATAGCCTCTTGCTATGGCAGATGTGGAGATGGAAAATGAATTGTGGAAAAAGACTTCTCCTTGAAGAAGGCACTACAAATTAACTGACATAAAAAAATCACAAAAAAGTATGTTTTTCTTGGTTAGATAAACTTTCTTTCTAGTCTTGTTTATGTGTGGTTATTTAAAAAAAATAGGGTAGATATTGTAACCTGGCTATGATGTTTTTAAGAGTGTTAGAAACAAAAACTGCAAATAACAAGCTATATTTTCACTGTTTATTAGCGTATTTGTTTCGTTTACAGTTGCTATCCAAATTCCCTTGAGGAAAAACTAGATCCCGTCTAATGTATTTTGGAGCAAGTTCTTCAAATGCTTTTTCATTCTGTTTCCATATAGCCCCCGAAACCTAATTAGGGTAATTTTCTTCATGTACCCTTGATATGCTTTGAGGCAGGAACACAAAGTTTTTTCCTGCTTCACTGCTGATTTGAATTCCTTTGAAGTACATGACAGATCTCTTCTGCACCTTTCTGAATAATTACAGTCCTAATTTATGTTTCTGTACAGCTGTGCACTAACATAACTGCAAATATGCAACAGAACTGGAGTTAAGTGACAGACAAAGGTTAACATAAAATGTTCCAATACATGTCAAATTCATCATAAAAACAAGTACAGATAATGAGACGATTTATAATCACATCATAGGTGTGGCATTTAAAAAAAAAGGTCACTATAAAATACTGTACCTTTTTTCTGCCTACTACATTATGAGTGTAAAACATCTCCTCCTAAAGCTTATTTATAAAAATTGAATTATTTTACACATACACATAAATAACAACAATGGTAAACATTTAGATTGTGCAACAAATTAAATAATATTTTTGTATGATTACTTCCATACAGGTATAGGCAAAACAATATTCAGATATAGTCCATGATGTTAGTCAGAAATTCATTTGTGGGCATGATTGTTTCTGAAGTCTAAGAGGTTACTTCACTTTTTTCAAACAATTTCTATTGTGTACAGAATACCAAACTACAAATTGTGTGATAATTCTAATTGTACACAAACCTTGCTAAACTAAATGCATAACATCTATTTTAAGTTCTGTACACTCAATTTTGTAGAAGTACTACAAACATGAACTCAAGAGCTACATGAAGAATAAGCATACATTTACAGAAAACTAAAGTGTTGTTTAGTGCGGTTTCTGTCTCCCAAAAGAAATGAAAATAAGTGGGATCAAGCAAGAAGCATTACACAGATACTGCATATTCATATCAGTTAATTTCATCACCAAAAACACTTTTGAAATAAGTACAGAAATGGGCTGAAGAGTTACTGGAAAATAAAGATTCGAATGTGCTATGAGTCTTAAAAGGAGAAATTCCACTAAAGTCTGCTGCCTTTATTCAGAAATATATAAAGTATATGAAATGTGGACATTGTACCCAAAAACCATACAGAAGCCATAGATTACTCAAAAAAGCTTGGAAGATAACACTCACAAAGAGGACATAAAAATAAGTGATTGAGTCAAAGACAAACAGGGAATTAAATTATTGTAAAAGCAGAGACTAAAAGACAGCATGAGGAGTGGAGCATTGCTAGACAAAGTAAATACAGAACTGGACCCCAAAAGAAAATAGCCATTAAGAAAACTTCACAACAAATGGCACAAGGAACAGAATAGCACAGTCAATGGTGAGGTTTCAGGAGTAACCTGGATGAGGACAGAAGACAAAGACAGAAGTTTGGATAAGAATCTTGGAGGCTGCCATTGTCCAGCAGCAATATAATAAAGGTTAAAGATAAAGATGGCAAGCTGTATGTAAAGTTAAATGTAAAAGAGGCTATCTGTTTCCCATGAATTATATCAAATGGTATTTTTGGATTGTATTTCCATGAGTGACACAAATTAGGCAGGTTTTCAAATTGCCTTTTCCCCCATTTATGGTATTTCCATGATTTCACAAATCTTGAGTTAAATGTCAGATCGACTCGACTTTCAGCTTTCTGAGCTGATCTGAATTAAATTGGTCTGGGGTAAAATACAGTATATCAATAAAATGTTTAGTTGGAGTCATTGCTCATCTGAGATAACATAAAACAATGTACTGTAACTTCAACTCTCAGAATTATGTTCAACATCTTTCCTTCTCATCAATAACATCATTTTATTTATTTTATTAACACATAATTATAATTTTCAATTTGTATATACTTTACTCCCAGCAATCAGTAGAAGAATAAATACAGCCACTTAATTTTGAGAAATGCTTCAGAAAAGCTATGGAAAGCAAGAGTTGTACAGAATTCATTTTACCAGCTTTCATTTGCTAGTCTTGTAATAACAGACAGAGAGGGATACTAGATAAGAGAGAAAAGCTTCTGTATTAAATCTGATGGCCTTACTTTATGTACGTATTGGCATTGCCTTCAGGGAAGATGTATGGATGCTTCTTGCGGAAGACATGACCAACCCGGCTGCAGGGGATAATTTCCAGGCTGCCGCCACACATCCAGACACGAAAGGAGATCTCTGCAAGAGATGCACAGTGGATATTGGACTGGCACATACAGTACAGTATTCATGTACAGTATGCCACTGTAGGTAGTGCTCAAAAAAGCAAAGATCAATAAAGGTTCATTTTAATTAAAAAAATTAATGAGTTAACTTTTTTCTGTATGCATCACTTAATTATAATTTTCGAGAAAGAAAAACACTCAGTGTGGGACACACGCACAAATGCAAATACTGTCCCTGCAGGTACCATTGCCAACTTTTATATTTCATGTACCTTGTTAATTTCAGTACCTTGCCTTTCATCAGATTCATATAATGTGACTTTTATTTCTGATTTGGTAAAGGCACAATACGTGCTATTTTACTAGATTTGAAAATGTTAACACACTATTTTTGCAGCATACAGTACATATTGTAACGATTTTCATGATCTTACATCACGTTTAATATCTTTAACATTCATGTCCAAAATGACAGCTGCACTGTATTCTAATTTAACAAAGGGTCTTACCAAAGTTTTCCCCTCCCCAGATGTCCATGGCTGTATCATACTTTCCCAGGTGATTAAACCAGTTCTTGTCAATCATGAACAGTCCACCAGCAATGACTGGGGTCCTGCAGGAGACAACTGTAGATGAGCTCACTCTACAAATAATATATAGCTGAAAGGATTCCTATTGTCTGTAACTTTTCTTATGTACTGATAATACGTTTTTCCCAAATTAACATACACTTTTAATATACTTTTTAAAAAATATCTGTGTTTTCTTCTCCTACATCACACTGTAATGGCTAGTGGGTTCTTATGTGTTCTTATGAACACGGGGGTTCAAATTTAGTTTCCTTCATCATACACAATTGTCTGACAACTTATTTCTGCAACCTGTATTACTCAAATCTTCTTGAGAAGGCAGGTATTTAAGATTTTCTCCTATTGTAGAACTTAAGTGTGGTGATATACTTTCTCAGCAGAGATACTTTAATGATACTTTATTCATGGCTGACTTGCCACGATTTGGAAAGCACAGACTACTAAAAAAATTAAATGTAAAACACTTTGTATCGCTTCTTTTTTCTTAAAAAAGAATACATTATCAAAAAGCCACAAATCCTGGTGAGGGTTATTACAAGCTGGAATCTCAAAAGCACAGTGCATAAGGCAGAACTGAGAGCATGTAACTACTCTCCTACATCACACACCAGCCTGTCTATGGGTTACAGGATTTAACTGGAGAGTATTGTTGTTTCTTCAATTCAGCATGAAACATAGAGGAAATGTGGCTGTTCAGAAATCAGTGTGGAACTTTCTATTAGGGAATTTATGTTTTTTAAAAAAAGGAAATATTACATCTGTTACCCTGCCATAATAAGAGTAACATAATTAAAACAAGTATTACTGTATGTTAATAGCCCATAATTTAACAGTAATCAAATGGACAACACAGATTAATACCTGGTAACACATTCTTTGGCATCATACATTGCTAGAACATAAAGGCATCAAATTAATGAGGTGTTATTACTTCAATGTAATTTATGTGTTACATGGCAAACGTCGAATTTTCTTTAGCCTCTGATCCACTTGTACACAAGCACATTAGTCACATATCTTCTGAGGTGCCTAGTGAAAAGAACTCCTAAAACGTGTATTTAGGCACTGGAACACACTGAGTACATCTCAGAATTTTATTGTTTGGATGTTTTCATGATTAAGCACTGTATGAAGCAAAATAACAAGTTACTAAATATTAACACTGTAGTCCTTTTCAGCACAGAGTGTATTTGGATGCATGAAAACTCTAAGATGCTTAAAGGAAGAAAAACTAATGAGTTTATTATGTAAAGCACAGTACTAAGTTCTGTCCACATTTAAAATACAAGTACAAAAAGTGTAAACAGGTAGTAAAAGTGTTATTCTTCAGGTCTGATGCAATAGGTATGGTGTCTGATGGTTGAGAAGTTTAGCATTTATAGTATTATGTTAGTCTTAACAAAAAGAATAAATAATTTAATTAATGATCACAGGATTATATTATTTATTGACATCCTCAAGAAAATATCCATCAGTACAAAAACTGATTGTTTATCTCTGTACTTCATTTCTCTGACTCCATTCTCTAGGAGTGATTAAATACTTGCACATACTAATGCAGTCTGCTCACATTCAGAATACAATACACAATGTTGAGTGTCTGTTTTTTGACACTAAGTTCTAATATTGGAACAATTTTCTTTCCGCCTGTAATTTACAGAGAAATACATCTATTCTTATGTATTCAAAATGACAGTCCATAAACCAAACCAATGACAAGTCAACTTACTTTACAACCTGGCTTATGGACAGTATAATAATTGCCCAGACTCAGGTGAAGGAAGTGCAGGCAGTGAGGCAAGGAAAGGTTTATTGAGAAAATCGCCATCTTAGCTCAAAGTAGGCCCATTGGTGTGGCCTTGAGCCAAGATAGCCTTCTGATACTTGGGAAAACCTGCCGAACGAGGACCAGCTGGTCTGGATGAGTAAGTAGCACTCAGAGGGACAGAGATCCTATGTGACTGATGTTATAACTGGCCGGTGGTGAAGCAGAGGGGCACGTTGTAGCTGTAGTGGCCACAGGCCATGACACCTCCCTCCTGCCTGATTTACACCAGATTCTGAGGAGTTAAGGTACTTGGAGCCATACATCAGGTGTTTTGGATGAATTAAGCTCTGTTTAAATTCTCCTCTGCAATCCCTATATTGCATCACTTATGGACAGCCATAGCATACTGCATCACCAGCCTGCGTGTTTCCCATTCCCTGTCAGCTTGGATTCCTCCTGTTTCCTGTCCTATCCTGTGTCCCTGCCTGCCTGGATTCCCCATTGCCTGTCTGTATCCTGTCTGGCCTGTCTGGGGAACCTGTCCTTTGCCGTGCTCGCCTTCACCGCTCCAGCTGCTGCGTGCAGCATGTGGCCTGGAGTTCCTTGATGGATGACGGCCCATTCCTGTTGTGCCAGAGCTTACATCACACCAGATTTGTCCTGCGATGGGCGTGAGGTGTTTCTTTTCCCTGGTGTCCACATTGCACTTCATCTTCCCCTGCAGTGTGCATGGCACTTCTGTTGCCTTTGGTGTGTTTCCTGGAGGTGAGATCTGCTGCTGGGTTGGCTGCAATTACCAGCCTGGGGTGTTCTGGAGCTCCTGGTCCTGGTGGGCCTTCCTGCCCTTGCCTGAACTCTAGCCTGCAGCCCAGTCCTGTTCCGTCAGCCTGCTCTTTCAGACTCGGCCTCAGACAGTCTCTCTGCCAGTCCCCTCTCTTGCCCTGCCCCTGGGACTCTGCACTGGTCTTGCACCTCTTGGCCCAGTCTCTGGAGTAGACCCCCTGGAGAGCATACCCCCTGTTCGGCCTAGTTCTTGGCGCACCTCTGGTAGACCGCAGCAATATTGTGTGCCCTGTCCTGCCAGGCTCCAGGTGCAGACCAGAATACCCAGCCCTGTTTCTGAAAGTCCATTCCAGAGCCTGCTGGCCACTACCCCTGGACCAAGACGCCCTTCCTTGGGTTCATATCACCTCCTGGATCTCCTGAAAGCTATTCAAGCGGAGTAATTTGCATTATCAATATTTATATTATCAGGTATATACAGATAATATTATCAGATATATCATAAAGACATATACAGTATATGTATACTGTATACTGTATTGCCAAAGATATTCTTCCTATGATACATCCCCAATTCAATCTGTGTCACATTTCGGATGTTGATTTTTTATTATGGAGATTTCTTATGCATTCCAAATAAGAAGCCCAATATTTGTGTTGTTCGTGCACTGTTTAGTAGATGTGTTTATTCTTACTTACTTAATAGGCTCCGTGGGGTCAGCTCTCTTTGCTTTCTGTTCAGCAGACAACTGCTCCCACTTGAAATGCAGACTCCAGTCAAAGCCTGGGGCAGAAAGCAGATAATCACAACAGCGGTTTTGACAGATCTGTGTAATAGTGAGATTATAGTGAACCTCTACTAATAACATCTGTCATGTGTTTGACTACCCTTTGTGCTATACATTACAAATAAAGTATGCAAATAGGGCAGAGCTTCCTACAACAAGATGTTTTAGGGGTGATTTTCTACAGTATTTGGAAAATTTTTGCATTTTATTTTAGCCTCTAAAAGGTCAAATGGGATTTGGAATTGGTATTAACCCTTTACCAAGTGTTTCAGAAAAAATACTTGTTCAGATGTGTTTCTGGAAAATGATATTTTATAGGAGGACAAAACTGCTCATTGTGGGAATTTTTGATAATTTTTTATAATTCTGAGTTGCATTTGCTCAACATAAGCTGATCATCTAAGAAATAGTGAGTTATAAATAAGGATAAGCACAATAAGGAAACACTGCATAAACGTCTGTGTGCTTGAAGGTGTTGGAAACAATATACCTGAAGTTGTGTTTTTTGAAACAGTGGACTGAGTACAGAAACAAGCACTCCAGCAATCTAAACAAGCAACCAGATTAATTAAAGACAATGATTAGCCAGGTGATTTAGAGCTCAGGTGGAATGAAACAAAACAGAAATAGTGGTCTCCCTGGACAATATTTGGAAACCAACATTCAAGCTAGACTACATTGGCTACAGACAGTACATAGCACTATCTAAACTGGTAATTTAATTCAGACTCATTCACATTGGGAACATGAACAGAAAACTTCAATATCAGTACTTCTAAGTTTTTATTTAAAGATATCTGAAAATTAATAACCAACATTCTTTTTCTCATAAAGCAACAGCTTACTGTGTTAAGCCAAAGAGAAATGGTACAAAGATAAACCAAATGCTATGAATTAGCCTCTTTAATGATTAGATTCGTCAGGCAATCCTAGATAAATTGTGACAAATGGCTCAATGGGAAAAATGAAAGGTTTCCAAAATGATAAAGCATTTGAAACTTCCATCACACATAACCCAACAGCAATTTATCAGTTTCTAAGACTTCAAGCGAAAAATTAAGGGAAAGGTTTTTTATCAGAAGAGAAATTCCAATCTCAAAGAAGAAAATAAATTAAGTGGTAAACAACAGTTGGTTACCAAGAGTCTTCATTTCAAAATCAAAATTGAAATCTGACTAAAGACACCAAGATTTGCAGTTCAGCTTTTCAGTGCAAAGCTAAGCACCCTGCAACTCACAACTGGCAGCCCACTGAAGCTAAGCAGGCTGTGAGCCTGGTCAGTACCTGGATGGGAGACCTCCTGGGAAAAACTAAGGTTGCTGCTGGAAGCGGTGTTAGTGGGGCCAGCAGGGGGTGCTCACCCTGTGGTCTATGTGGGTCCTAATGCCCCGGTATAGTGACGGGGACACTATACTGTAAACAGGCGCGGATGAGATGTCAAACCGAGGTCCTGACTCTCTGTGGTCATTAAAAATCCCAGGGTGCTTCTCGAAAAGACTAGGGGTATAACCCCTCCTGGCCAAATTTCCCATTGGCCCTTACCAATCATGGACTCCTAATAATCCCCCTCTAAGAATTGGCTTCATTACTCTGCTCTCCTCCCCACTGATAGCTGGTGTGTGGTGAGTGTTCTGGTGCACTATGGCTGCTGTTGCATCATCTAGGTGGATGCTACACATTGGTGGTGGTGGAGGGGAGTCCCCATTACCTGTAAAGCGCTTTGAGTGGGGTGTCCAGAAAAGCGCTATAAAAGTGTAAGCAATTATTATTATTATTAGGGGTAGCATTTCTCTTAAATCTAGAGCTTTATTCACAGTTGGGTTATGTTTCTGAAAGGTTTATTAATAATATTAATAGATGACTAATAAAATCTTCCGCTTTAAAATCATCAATCAAAGCCAATGGCCAAGGAGCACCATTTACAACTTTGGTCTGAATGTGACCAAAAATGGCAAGATGACGTTTAAAAAAAAACTTCAGGACAGCTGGAAATTCATGTTAAATGGTAGTTAGGATCCCAAGGTGTTGTCCTCAAAGTAATAAAGTATGAATGTCTTTTTCACATGAGTCAAGCATGTACTTAAGGTTATGGTTAGGGTTAGTGTGTCTTCTAAACCTAGAGGTTTATTCATGGCTGGGTTTTGTTTCTGGAAGAATAACATATAGAAGACAAGTAAAATCTTGGGGTTTTTAATTTTCAAGATTAAAGTTGTTTATATTGCATAAGATCATCCATTAGGAAAAGACTCATTCTGAGCCCAGTAAAAAGTTTGATGCAAAACCAAATCTAAATATTGATTTCATGAAATGCTTTTAATTGGAATCAGTTTTCCATGATTCCAATTAAAATGTAAGTAAAGGTAATATATAGATTTGTGATTAAAAGTAGACATAATTACTTAAGAGTCTTTATTTATAATGTCCTGGTTATAGGATTTCTGTGCTTAAGTACCGCACTTCTTATTAGTAAAAAAAACATACTGGGCTTTGTGAATTTTTAGTTTATTGAGGATTTAAAAATAACTGTCTAGTCAACCATTAATAATTTTTGGAAAGTTTTGGTTTTGAAATATTCCCTGATATTTATTTACTTTTGCTTGAAATTGAAATTTAAGAGCTTTGAGAAGCTACTTTCAAAGGTGCAATATAAAATTAAGTCTATAGTATTATTATATATTAAATTATTAAAATGTATTGATTTTACTATCTTATATTTCTAACATTATTAAATTAATATTTAACATGAAATATTCATCCTGAATGACTTGCATAATGGCATTGTGTTTGGTGGGCAGTATTTCACTCTAATAGCATTACTGAGAGCAGATCTGTTATTCTGTGAATAATGCAAGGGGTTGAAATAAGAGGCATATTTTAAATTACCTCTTTGGAATTTTTTTTTTGATTAGATTCCTCTTTACCCCTTCATTTTTCTTGCGTATTCCCATTTTTTTCTATTTGTTGTTTCACGTTATTATGTACTGTGTATACATAAGAAGTTGTTAAAACAATATGCACTTTGTGACCGGTCTTAGTACTGAATTATAAGGGACTCACCCCTAGACTAACGGAGTTAAGAGTTTCTGTCTTGATAGCGGCAAGGAGGCAAAATGCTTAGCATGGATGTTGGTGACCAGGGCTCAGTTCTCTGTTAGCCTACCAACTGAGCATTAGGATATCTTTATTGAGTCTGACAGCCCTCTCCTGGGACTAACTGGTTCTCACACTAAAGCTTGCATATGGCCTTCAGTACGAGCCAACAAGTCCAGACTAACCTCCTCGGAGGTCAGACGAAGCTGCCACATAAGCAAAAGTGTCCATGTTGATGATGTCGATGACGGGGCTCACCACACGAGTTGGATTCTAGGACACAAGATCAAAGAGAAGCTGCCATTCACTGGCTCTCATCGAGACTAGGCAATTAATAGCAACACGTCTCTAGCCCACTTCCATACAGTACATGTACTGTATGTCTCCAGAGACACTGTAGAAAAAAGGACTGAGGGAAAGTTTAAAACAAATGGTCAAGTTACGTTACATGTCCATACAGTATGTTTCTGGCAAAATAAAAGTAAGCTGTATTTCCACTCACCTCCAGTTCATGGTTAATTATTGGGATTGAACCAAAAAGTCTTCCATAAGAGAATACAACAATTAGGATATGCAATTGGACACAAATGGGTGAACAGCCTTTTGCAAAGCTCCTTATGAATAAGACTCCTCTGAAAAAGGTAAAACAGTGCATAGTGGGCTTGCTGAACTATATGGAGTGATTTGGGACACAGTTATATTTGACTAGTATCTAGTATCATTTTTTTTTACTTCCTCACTGGACAATCATCAATGCAGTTAGAACGTCATTTACTGTTGTAGTCAGCATGACCAAGAATCAATGACCAACCCAACCATTTCTTTCTTTCTTTTTATTTCACCTTGATAAGGTGAGCCTCATGTCAAAGTGGCTTTCAAAAGTGAATTACGCTTGATGTGCTGTAAATTCAATGCCCCTCACCTCCTTCATTCTCTGAAGAAGAGGGGGGAGCCAGTCTTTGTTCACTTCACAGTGGCTGTCGAGGAATGTCAAGACGCTGGCCCCAGCAGCATCTGCCCCACGGACCCTGGAGCGTATTAGACCTGTGGGAGTGAAGATTGTACTGTACTGTTCTGAGGGCTTTAATTTTTCTGTTTTCAGCTTTTATGCTCCTGTAACACTGGTTGCTTTTAACATGCTGTACTGTACTGCGACTAGGTTGTCGGATTCAGTAATTTCCCATAGATTTGTTCACAAATGCACCCTTTATATATTCTTACAAGTTCTAATGCAAAACAAAGAACTTTCACTTTTGTCAAAACCTTGTTTTCCAATATGGCATTTAGTACTGCATTCAACATATATTTTTATGACAAGCAAATTACATTTACTAATAAAATTGTTTTAAGAACAAAATTACAACATTGATTTTCTGTTAGCTTTTTCACAATAAGTCAGTCTGACATAGGCAAAACAACAAAGCTGATCAAACTTTATATCAGATAATTCCAAATCAAATCCATATTCTATGTTTGTATGTGCTTCAAGACCATGACGCCTTACACCATCTAGAACAGCAGCAGATTGTTTCCAAAAACATAAGAAAACAAAGTTCTTAGAAGAAACAATTAGGCCCATCTAACTGATTTTATTGCGAAATGCGAATCAGCCGTTTCTTGAACTAAACCAGGGTTTCAGCTTTGACAACATGGTTGTGTAGCTTGTTATAGATCCCCATAATTCTTTGTGCAAAAATTGCCTTTTGTGCTCAATTTTTAAAAGCAACTCTATATACTGTAGTTTCCACTTGTCCTCTGGTTTGTGTTTCACTGTTGATTCTGCAGAAGCCTATTAGGTTGACTGTCTCAATGCTTTTGAGGATCTTGAATATTTGCATCAGGTATCCCTGTAGTCTCCTCTGTTCAAGACTAAAAACATTCAGTTCTTCTAGCCTGTCAGTAGATAACATAATGATTTAACTTATTATCTACTAGTCCATTAAATAATCTTATTTTACTTTTTTTAAATATGGATCAGCTTCCCCTTTTGTATTTAGAATTTATCGTGCCCTGTAGATATATTCATACTAAAAAAATCATCATATAGCAGAATGAGTTACAGAATGGACAATGTGCCACTTAAATCCTAATTATCATATACCGCAAAATAATAATGGCATTGCACAGAGCAAAGTTGTAAATTTCTTAGATAATAACATTCTGCTCCTTGGAAACATAGTTTTCCTAGGGTATTAAATATACTGTAGGTAATACATGGAAAACGTTCAGTAGTAGCAGAATTAAAGTTGTGGTTCAGGACAGAGAGCTCTCTGAAGGCTGCATTAAATACACAGTGGCCTGCAAAAGTTGGTGGATGGATATAATATAATACAAAAAACGCTGAATCTACCATTTTCCACAGTTGTGTCCATTATTTAAGATTACTGGCATAAAAGCTGGTATAGTGGTAACAAAGTGTGAAAATTATCATTCAAGGTCAGCTGCACGAATGTGTTATTTATAGCAAGGTTGAAATAAAAGAAGTGCAATCAAGAACTGAATTACATGAAGGCAAATAGCAAAAAGAGGCAAAATCAAACTTACCAAACATCATTTGAATGACAATTGAAATAATGAGTTATCTTCAGATTCAATGAAAATTGAGCTTTTTGGATTGCTCATCAACATTATGTTTGGTTTAAAAACGATGTTTTCTGTAATTTATTATTATATTCATCTATTAACTAGCTCAGTCAAAAATCAGACAATACATTAACTATTGATTGCAATTTGAGAATTATTTTTCAGGAGGAACTTGCTCAAAAGCTGTGTGCTCAGATGCTGTGTGTCCATTATTGCTGTTGCTTGTTTCATGTATCCTAACAATTTAATTAAAGAGGTACCTTTCCTAATATGATTCTAACCTGTTATTCCCTAGGATGTATTTCTATACAGATGGTAGTTATAATTAGAATGTAGTTCTAATTAGAATATCCATGAACTTTACAGATAACAGATGTATACAGTAAACATTTGGCTCATTTCATCTGTGGAAGGGGATTACAAAGAGAAATTTGAAATGTGCCAGTCATTGGGTTTTGACAATCATCTTGTCTAGAATGACCGTTTTTCAGCCTCTGTTTTTCAGGTATTTCAGCCTCTAAAATGTTAATATTAGTTAATAAATAACTTTGTCCTTCCTCATCCTGGCATATCTTGATAAATTTCTAAGTGAAATATTAATTTAATACATCAGCATTTTCCTTTTTTTCCTAGATATTTCCTATTGCTACTATTAAACAAATGTATTATTCATTTGAGACTGCATTGCAATTTACCTTTTTGTTGCTCTTTTGACTGTTTTAATCTATTTTTTAAGTGGTTCAAGCAGGTAGCTGTGTCAGCTATTCATGATTCATGAATATTCATGACATTTTTTCAGCGCCCAAAAATATCTGGTTTTCATTATCTGTAACATACTCCTAAAAGTATACATTTTAAAAAAAATTTCTATGAATCACACTCATAGATTAGATTAAGACCCATGAGCTAGGTTAAGTGACTGAATGCTCTTTTAGATATATACAAGGAGCAATATTTATTACTAACAAGAGTATCTCCTTATTTACTTAGGACTTTTTTTTACAGATTATCTTCTGTTTTTTTTAAAGATTTTTGTTTTCTTCCACAAAAAGTGTTTCTAAACACTGATTTCAATCTGATTAACCTCTATGGAACTATAGGTAAAGCTCTAGAGAAATTACTGTTTATGCAGTATGTGCAAGTCAGAAGGGTTTATTGTTAAAAAAATATTTCACTTTTCGTATGGAATATATTTTTGGTGTTTAAACCTGTAAACCAAAGCTTTTAATTTTATTGTATATTTTACATGATAACCTGCATCAGAATCATATCCCAACATAATATGTTTTTATTCAACAAGGTAATGAACATCAAAACAAAGATACGGTTTATATGTTACAGCACAGCAAGGTACTGCAGGCAGAGGAAAGGCAGACTGAAATCGTGAAGCTGTAACGTGGCTGTGCATTGCACACAGCTGCGGAGGATTACAGGCTGAAGTTGAAAACATTCCACAACTGAGGCGGTTTCTGGGAGCGGATTCCTTTTGAGATTTAAAGGAAAGTAGAGATTCAGAGGTTAGAGTTGGATTTGCTTTACATCTGCTGTAGATTTGTGCTGTGAGCTGTACTTTCACAGGCAAATCAGTGACTGATCGTTTTATGCGTGACATCTTGGCAATAAATAGAGGATCTGCTGTGGAATGATTAATTGGAAGATTGGGTGCTTGATTGGCAGGGGAATGGTCAAACCAAAAGGCAGCCAACTTAGTCCTCTGACCCACGGGAGGCCTGCTTGTGGGAATGTCATGGTCCCCCCCCACTTAATAGGTGCTCTCTGGGCACTGGACAAGGCCTTTGAAGAAAACGGTTGTGAAAGGCTTGGATCATCCATGGGGCATTGATGTCCTGAGCAAGTACCCAAGTCCATGACCAGTGGGCCACGTATTCAATGATGTTCTTGAACCAGCGGGAATCCAGAACTTGTTGTGTTCAGAATTCTTCCGAGTTGTCCATGGGAGGGTCATTCTGTATTTGTGGTTTAGTGATTCCCAGTGCGGGCTTTAGTAGAGAGATGTGAAACGCTGAGGGGATTCACCTCCCCAGGGACCAGAGGAGGTCAAGGCAATAGGTGACAGTGGTCACACATTCTACTACCTTGTATGGTTAAATGTAGCGAAGAGCCAACTTCTGTGATGGCTGGCAGAGACAGAGGTGACTAGTGGCAAGCCACAAACACTGCCTGGGTTTCAGGATGGTGTTTATCTCTAGTGTTAAAAGCTTTAAGGACACTGTTCTGCAAAACCTGCCAAACCCCCTCCAGGGCTCCTGTGGCCCTGTCAGCCATAAGGATATCAGCTGGGTCAGAGGATAGCCTGAAGAGAAGTGGTTGAAGCACATACTGGCACTGGAAGGGAGACATACCTGTTAAGGGATTGACCAGGATGTTGCAGGACAGTTTGGTCCATAGAAGAAGGGGGGCACAGTCGCCCTGGAAGGCTAAGACATGGCACCTCAGCTATGTCTCCAGATCCTGACTGACCTGCTCCATCTAGTCAATCTTCTTGGGATGGAAGAGAGATTGATTCGAATCCCCAGTTTCCAACAAAAAGCTCACCAGAAGCCAGAGACAAACTGGAGGCCACAGTAGGAGACAATGGATGCTGGGAATCCATGGAGTTGGAACTCTCCCTTGGTGAAGACACCTACCATCTGGGAGGCAGATAGCAACTGTGGAAGTGGGACGAAACCCACAGCTTTGGAGAGTTGATTAACCCCCATCAGGACAACTGAGTGACCATGGGAGAGGGGGAGGTCAATTAAGAAATGTGTTGCCATGGGTGCTCAGGAATCGGTAATGATTGCAACAGTCTATGGGGTGTTTGGCCAGTTGGGATGTGTTGCCCCATTGATGTAACGAATTGCTTCTCTGGCAGAGTGTTGGGAAGAGTTGGGTCAGTGTGGCTGTCATTGCATCTTCCACTTATAGCAGGGTGGCCTGTATAATCTGTTGTTGCGGGATAATGGTAGTAGGCTTGGGAGGAGCCCTGTCCTTGGTGTGGATTCTCAACAGGGTAATGGCTTTCCTATTCTTGGATCCTGGA